CTGGGTGAGGCATCCCCCAGCCCACTGAAGCTCCGCCCCGCCCTGCTGAAGCTACGCCCCATCCTGCCAAAGCTCCGCACCATACCACTGAAGCCCCTCCCCCTGCTCTGTAACCAAGCTATGTCGGGAGGAGGAAGGGAGGAGACAGGGAGGAGCCTCCCTGTCCCTCACTTGCTCGTCACTGGTGAGGGAACGAGATCAATGTCCTCACTGTTTTTTTATGCTTTTTTTTTATTGGACAGCTTGGACCAATGGCGCTTTGCCATTGGTCCAAGCCATCCACAGAGCCCACGCCTCTAACACAGAGTAGAGTCTGTGACAGCTCTTGCCTCACCAAGTTAGGTTACACAAGCAGTGGGGAAGCCCGCTGCTGTGTAACCCAACTACCTGTCAAAAGCCGGATGCAGTAATCAACAGGCAGCGCTCCGTCCATGACAGGTCACACAGTGGGTAGGCTTTCCCTGCTGTGTAACCTGTTACAAGCCGATCTGAATGGAGAAAAAGCTGTCAGCTTCAGACTTGAAGCTGACACCTTTTTTCTTCATAATACTAGGTGAGGCTCTGCCTCACCTGCCTCCCCTGACCGAAGGTACTGCCCAAAATCAGACCTCATGCAAAGCAGACCAACTTTACCCTGCCAAGTTCTGCTTTGTTTCAAATTGATGCAGTGTCTGGAGGACATGACCCAAAGCCCAATGTTTATGGATAAGAATATACACTTTAACTAAAGTAACTATATATGTATATAGTGAGATCAAGCAAACCATTGCTGGAGACTTCCTTCCTTCAACTTCTAAGAGGTTGGTTTAGAGTAAAAGACATCTTCAGAGATGAAAAACATACCATCATACTCATGGATATACATGATGGCTTTGCAACCATTGATTACATCAGTCTGTTGGGATCAGCTCCTTCCCTTTTCTACCTATAAATACCCTCTTGGTTGGCCACAATAGACCCCACTGGCCTGACCAAATAGTTTAACCCTCCTCTCTCTTCCCCATTTACTGCCCCTACCCATCCTGTTGATAATTCTTCTTATCTACACTCACCATCTTTCTACCTCTCTTCCTCTTTTTTCACACCCTCCCCTCTGTATGCACTCTTCAGGCTTTCATCCATCTTATTATTTCTACAACTGAACCCCCCCCCCCCCTCCACCTCTGTACAACTTCCCAGCTTGTGAACATATATAGCAGTCTACCCCTCTGGTGTTCTTCTGAAACCACTTACACTTGTAACCCCCTCCCCATATCCCACGACTCATCCCATATCCTTCTACAGTTGCTCTTTTTGACAGATAAAACCACAAACTCATCCTACCAGATAATTTAAATATCTAAGCGCAGTTCATACCTCTGGCAGTGTTGAGGGATAGGCATGGTACTCTATGCCTTCCCCTCTCTCTTTCTCTCTTTCTTGTTGATGTTATTTTATGTCACATTCCCTACTTATACAGAGATGTAGGCCTGTTTCTTACCGCTGACTAGCGTATTGAGATGACTGTTTGTACATGCAGGCTGATAAGACCTCTGAAACTACTGATCTTACTGTTATGTAGACATGTGTATTCAACCTACTGTTTTGGACTCAGTATAATCCTGCTCTTATACTTAATAAATATATATTGTAAGAAAATAAAGGAAAACAGCCACCACATCTAAGGAATAGTAAGCTGGAATATATAAGTTTTTTGATCATGGATTTAGATACATTCAAAGCAGAAAGTGAGCCAGAGGGCAGGTTTGGAGCCTTGTTTTTTTTACATCTCAGGGCACTAGTTCAGACAAATGCTCCCCTAATATAATGGAAGTACTGAGCAATTGTGTAAGTATATACTTATGCTGACCATGACTCATCCAGTTGGTGTACTAAAACCAGCGGCGGTCACAGTAAACCTTTGAATACACAGTCATGACAGCCAGAGGTTTTTGATGCTTAAGAGTCATGATACAATTTTGGCATACATGATGATGTTGTCCCGCAGATGTGAGACGGAACTAATCTCAGACGCAGATGTGAATTTTTTTCCCGCAGCATTGTATCAGGTAGAAGCAATCAGTAAAAAAAAAATTAAATTAAACCATTTAATGTGAGATTGACTGTAAAAAAAAGTAGTGTTATTCAAATGTATCCAATATAAAAAATAATAAGTCTTTTGTCAAGCGAAAATGATGTTGATAATTTCATTTTGGTCTGAAATACACAAGCCAGTCACTGAGCATTTGAATAAACTGTATCATGCTGTGCTCTTTCCCTCTGACAACATACTGCAGTGTCTTCTTTGTGCTCCTGTCATGGAAATATCTGCAGAATTTATTCTATAATACTGGTGACAAAGGAAGTAAAAAAAATGGTTATCTTGCAATATACTGCAAGTGCTAAAAACAAACCAGTTTAGGAAGCTATGAAACAAAATAAATAAAAAATAAAGGGAGGCATACAATACAATCATTTCAAAGTGATGGATAATTTGAAAACCCACCAATGCCCTGCATACAAAATGACTGTACAAAATTAACACTGTGTTGTCTTTCAGATTGATACCACCTGAGATATAAGACAGCGTCCCTCAACCAGGTTGGCTTCTGGCTTCCCCAGGGGTGCCTTGAAATTGTTTGCACAGTGTTATGCCCTTCCATGGTGCAGGCAGCCATCTGATGTGAAAGGGGGAACTCTGATGTTAAAGGGGAAACTCTAATGTGAAGTGGGGCACTCTGATATGTAAGGGGGCTCTCATATAATGTGGACTCTGATTTAAAAGGAGGGCTTCTGATGTGAAGGGAGCTCTTAATGTGAAGGGGGGGCTTCTGAAGTGAAGGGGGGCTTGGGATGTAAAGGGGGAACTCAGATGTAAAAGGAGGGTGCTCTGATGTGAAGGGGAGCTTCTAGAATGAGAGGGAGAACTCTTATAAGAAAGGGGTATTCTGATGTGAAAGGAGGGTGGATCTGGTGTGAAGGGTGTCTCCTGATTTGATGGAGAAACTCTGATGTTAATGGGCAACCCCATTTTTTTGTGTGGGGTCCCCACTTAAAGTCCATACCAGGCCCCTATCTGGGATAGAGGCAGGTATGGATTTTGGAGGGGCCACATGTTGCTTTCCACCATCACATTGTTTTTACATTTTAGACTGGGGTGCCTCATGATTCTGCATACTTTATATAGTGTTATGACTAAAATAAAGGTTAAGACACCTTCAAATAAGAAAGAATAATAGTTCGCCCCCCTCCCCTTTGTCTTCATATTTTCTTTGCTGTACAATTATACAGATGCACAAAAGGGCAATGTTTTAATTTTGCCCAACTAAAGGTCTGCAGCCATAGTACCAACATCTTACACTTTCCTGTTATAGCAGATATGCAGAGTGTCAAATAATGACTGTGCAGTCTTATAGGTACCAGAGTTAGACTCTAGTCTACTATGTAATTAGCTCTTAGTATTAGAGTTGGTCTGACACCTCCCCATATCTTCTATGCAATACAAATCTGTCCGAGGATACCTATGCTAAGGGGCATGGCTGGTACTCAGCTATGCCATCACAGAGTACCTCCGAGGTAGCGAGCAGAATAAAAAAAAATTAAACAAAAAGGAAAAAAAAGAGATACAAAATAACTTTAAAAAATGAAAAAACAAAGAAAAAGAAAAAAAAGTTAAAAAAATAATTTAAAAAATGTAGAAGGAAAATAAATACCATACCAGACCCTTTAGGGGATCCCCAGGTAACAAAAAAAAATATTGCTTAGTGTTTCCTCATAAGTCATTCCGAGCCCTTTAGGTTTGGTAGGAACCCCACCCCCAATAATGCGGAAAAAACATGGGGTCCCCCCTAAAATTCTTGCCCTGCCAGACCTGTGCCCATCTGAGCACAGGCCTGGCAGGGCAAGAAAGGGGGGGGAGACAAGTGAGCGCCCTCCCTGCTCCATACCAGGCCACATGTCCTCGACACTGGGAGGGTGCTTTTTCAGGGTCCCCCCTGGGGACCAGGGCCTCCTCCCCCACAAGCCCTGGGGCGTTGGTTGTGGGGGTCTGCGGGCAGGGGAGCTTATTTGCATTCGGGTACCCCCTTTTAAGGGGCACTCAGATGCACCTTCCCTTGTGAATTAGTAGGGGTACTTATATAAATAAACACACCAGACTTTTGAAAAAAAATGATTTCTGACAATTCCAAAAATTGATCCAACAACATAATCCTAAAGTCAATCACAATGTCCAGCGTTGTCCACGATGTTGACAACTTGTCGAAATAAAAAAACCCTGACGCCTGCCAACCCATCCACACGCGACAAACTCCCGTTGCAAAATGACATTCTGACAAATGCTGGCAAAATATAAACATTTGGGCGGAGCTAGTGGTGACATCACCGCTAGCTCAGCCCTACAGTTTACATTGGGCTGACACCTGTCAAAGTCTTCCTGCAGGTTGTGTCTCTGTAATACATCAATTATGTAATTTTAAATGCAAGCAGTATAAGTACCTGAATTTGACTGGGGATCAACCTCTTGCAGTTAAATGTATAGCAAAGTTCAAACTTGGGGAGGGAAAAGCAGCCCAAGAAGCAACTCAATTTTGTTGCAGTGCAGACCATGCTAATAGGAGAAGAGGGCAGATTGACAGGTGGGCTCATAAATCTGCTGCTTCTCCCTTTTCTGTCCAGTCACAGGCTGGGGGTGCAGCAGAAAAAAAAAATCAGGTCTCCTGTCCTGTCAGATAGAGCTGTGCTGTGTGGCAAACTAGTTTATATCTCAGGATAGATAGAAATATAAATCCTTTGATAGGTACAACAGCTTCCACACATAATTTAAACTGTACGTTTAGCTATTTGACTGAGGTTTTGCTTTCAGGTAAATCGAAAGGCTGTATATAAATATGTGGGCTTGGGCGAACTCAGGCGAACTGGGTTTGCACCAAGTCCAGGCTCATCACTAGTGGACAGCATTAGAATTTCACTGATTGATTTCACTTGTTGCCTTGCACCATACCATTGTCTTATCTCCTTACCTGTATAATTAACTTTAAGCTCTAGATGCATCATGACTATGTCGCTGTCTTTGGTGCGCCTGTTGTAATGTGGATTTATGATGATCTGGTCAATCAATCTGGTCTCCGTTTGCGGGTATGTGAGGTTAAAACTGTTATGCATTCCTAGAATGGCTTTCCATTTGGACGGTATTAAGTTCCTTCTGCAGATCACAAATAAAAGTTCAAAACTGTTAACATGTTAACAATTGACAGGGTTATTCACAAAAGGGTGAAGAGTTTGAAAAAGGCAGGGGAAGTGAACAATCTAGGACAAAATAGCTGATTTGGAAAAGGTATCCAATTCAGCTCACTTTCTAGTTCAGCTATGCTGTCCTAGATTGTTCACTTCTCCTGCCTTCTCCAAAACTCTTCACCCTTTTGTGAATAGCCCTGTGAATGATAAGCTTGAATGCTTCCTTCTCTATGTTCTGTGTTAATCTTTGACCTCTTTTGCAGTACATATAATTCAAGTTTTGTATCGGATTAAGTGAGATAGTTTATTATAATTGGAAAGCACTTAATGTTTTCTGACTGCTCCACAGGACACAAGTTCCCTAACACGGAATTATCAGCAGATCCCAGCTAGAAAACTATACATTATAACAGTAGCAGGAACAACGATGCAATTATAAAGGGGTTATTAATTTAATTATTAAAAACAGCTAAGTTAAAAATCTCTAGTCAATTAGTCATCAGCCTTGTGATGCAAATGATTAGTATGCTCTAGAAACAATTGGTTTTGAGAGACTGATTCTTGGCACCTCCATGCTGCATGGAGAGAGGCTAAATGCAGTAAGCAGTGCAGCTGAGATCTGCCTCACAACCCACTGGGACCTCATCTGCATATTGCTAAAGGCTTTATCTGTGAACCACACATTTCCTGCAAGTCGATATAATATGTTAACCAAACATATGAATATAAATAACTTGGGCTGTGGCTGGTTGCAGTGGCAGCTGTTTTAATATTGATTTTTCATTTTGGAAATGTGAACAAGGATAGGCTGTCAAACAATGAGAATACTGAAGGTAGAAAGAATGCACCTAAACAAACTATTTAGATATGAATTCTGTCCGGGCAAATGTGTGGTTAAGCTCAAACATTATTTTTACATCGTTTTATTTAAACAAACTCCATCTTAGCCAACGCAAAACTGGTATTTTTTTTTATTTCCAAGATGAATTCCTCACTTGTTTTACTTTGAAATGTCCATTTGTTTTACTTATCAACACGCAATGGCCACTTATAAGTAGGGATGCACCGATACCGATACTAGTATCAGTATCGGTGCCGATACCGAGTATTTGGGTGAGTACTCGTACTCGCCCAAATGCTCCGATACCTAGCACGAGTACTTCCTGTATCAGAAAGCCGGGCAGCGCATCATTACACGCTGCCCGGTTTCCTGATTGGCCAGGAAACGGCTCCATGCTCTCTCGTCACTTGTGATGAGAGAGCATGGAGCCAACTTCCCGGCCAATCAGGAAGCTGGGTAGCGTGTAATGACGCAGCGCCCGGCATTCTGATTGGCCGGGAAGCCGGCGTCAAGCTCCCTCGTCATCTCATGAATCATAATATTAGGAAAGTGACCTCAAAGCATTAGTTTGTATTGCTTTAGAAAAAATGTGACCTGTCCCTTTAAGAAAAAGTATTGGTAATTGGTTTCTGCGAGTACTTGATCAAAAGTATCGGTACTCGTACTCAGTCTTAAAAAAGTGGTATCGGTGCATCCCTACTTATAAGGCATCTATTTCCCAGTGATTTGATCACCATGATAATGGCTAATGGTTTTAAATGATAAAGAATGTAGGGAGAAAAATGAGACCCCTATGTTACAGGAGAAAGCAGCGCATGGCTGGAGAATCATGAACTTTGGTAAGTTTAACACCAGAGCTACAGTACCAAGAGATACAGTGCCATATATCAGATATAGATACTGTGTTCTTTAGTAACATAGGGGCTGGCAGGAGGAACCATGGCACACAGTGGGGACCAGGAAATCAACGCTCCTGGATGTGTTGGATTTTTCAGGACCTTAAAGGTAAACTTAATGCATGCAATTCTAGCTATGCAAAGTGCAGAGATCACAACCTAAGTAGATGGACCCAAGCTGCATTGTTATAGTTTTTACAATGCAGCCTTGCACACAGATGTCTTGAAATGTATGAAAGATTGGAAAAGTTGAATGTGCATTCAAAAAAACCCAGAATCAAGTACACTTTGTTAAAATATAAAATAACATGGATACATACCCATAGGCGCAGTGAGCTGCTGACACCAACCACTCATTGTTCACCAGAGATGCTCCACATACTTGTCTTTCATTGTAATAAAGAGCGGCAATCCAAGGCCATGCACCTACTGCAGCATCTGTCCCGCCAACTATTCTTGAACTGGCCAAGGCTCTCTTCCCACATTCTGATACGAATATACACAATGAAGAAAGAATTATGTTAATTAAGTTTCAAATTATCATGTCACCAATGTAGAACTTGCAGAACCTTCAGAGCTCAGTCTACAATCCTCCAGTTTTAAAGTATAAACTTTGACCCACTCCCTCATCTTGTTTACCTCAGTTTTGGTCAGTGATGCTGCCCATTACATTAAAAAAAAACAGGGGTGAAGTAGACCAGAGCTCTTCGGGAAAAAACATAAGGCACATACAGAGTACTGTCATGCATTAAAAAGGGAATGTACTGTAGAGATAAAGCAGTGATTTTGCCACTTTATAGATTGCTGGTTCGGCCTCATCTGGAGTATGCGATTCAGTTTTGGTCACCAATCCACAGAAAGGATGTCCTGGAGCTGTAGAGAGTCCAGAGAAGGGAAACTAAACTAATTAAGGGGCTGGAGGATCAAAGCTATGAAACAAGGTTGCTAAATTTAGACTTGTTCACGCTGGAAGTGAAGAGATTAAGAGGGGACATGATTTCAATGTATAAAATGTTTAGTGGATATGGCAACATCAGCAATAGACGTTTTACTTTAAACTACTTAACAAAGACTAGAGACCACCTCCTAAAATTGGTGGATAAAATATTTATCCACAAAGGGAGTAGGGGCTTCTTTTCAGTCAGAGTGGTTACATTTCGGAACTCTCTGCCACAAGCAGTGGTATCAGCAGAGAGTATTGATTAATTCAAAAATCAATTAGATACCTTCATATGAGACCGCAACATACAGGGGTACAGGTACTCTTAAAAAGTAAGACCACGCACGGACTCATATACACACATGCACGCACTACACACACACACACACACACACGGACACATAAAGGTTGAACTTGATGGACCTGTTTATTCAACCTCAAATACTATGTAACTATGTAACTTCGGTATGTAACTGAATACTATTTTTTGCTTAAAAAAGACAATCCCGGACAAAGTGACAAATTCTCTTAAAAGCCCACCTTCCAACCCATTTATTCTCACCTTCAATGTGCTCCTCCATCTCCCTTATATGGCTGCATTTACCACATATACCTTGTGTAAGCATCATGTCAGAGCTTAGCAGGGTTGATAGTGTCACCCCCATCTGTAATTTGACATCATTTGGGCTTAGCAAATGCAGACATCCCAACTCTCCCGGACACTCCGGGAGTCTCCCGCTATTAAATAGCAGCTCCTGGCCGTACGGGAGAGAAACACTTCCTCACCGAAAGGTTTACTCTGCTCAATCGAGCAGATAAACCTTTCCCTGCAAACGTTTTTTTTTCTTTTCTGACATCGGGAAACGCGACCCGTCATCAGTTGAAAAGTAAAAAAAAAGGCATAAGAATTCATAGCTAGCTTGCTATTGGCTATTGCACTTTGCAATAGCCAATAGAAAACTAGGTAATGCACCCGCCCACTGCTGCTGTCAATCAGCAGAGGGGGACCGGCATTTTTCGATCAGGTCCTCTTCTGGTGATTGAAAGCAGCAGAGGGCAGGTGCAATAGCTAGTTTGCTATTGGCTATTGCAAAGTGCAATAGCCAATAGCAAGCTAGCTATGAATTCTTATGCCTTTTTTGTTTTTTTTCCTGACGACTGCAACTGTCAGAATACTAAAAAAAAAAAAATCAGAAAAAAAAACCTGCAGGTAGCAAAGAAGCTATTGCTTCCTGTGCTATCTGCCATCATTTCAGGGGGGTGCTCTCTCCATGCCCCCCCTAACCACCCCTCCGTGGATGTGGGGGGGGGGTAGAGGGCACCTCCCTGAAATGAGAGGGACAACTCCCTGAAATTGCTTCTTTCAGGTTGGGATCCCTGCAAATGGCCGCTCAGGCCCGAGCACTACATTATTGAAGGAGAGCACATTCTTTTGTGGTGATTTCAACAGAAAAATGAGCTGCAAGGGTGGCTGCATAGGTGAATAAAAGTGGGTGAGAGGGTAGGCTAGGAAGAGACTTTGCCAGAATCTTGGTGTAGTACAGGTGTACTGAAAAGATGGATATGATGCTTAAAGGGTTATTAAACCCTCAGGTGTTGTTGCATATATCTACTGCTAGCAAGCAGTAGATATATGCAAAAACGTAAAAAACAAAACAAAAACCTTTGAAACGGTTTTAAACATACCTGTGTCTTCGCCGCGCGCTCCCGTCCGAAAATCTGAAAAATCTCAGGTGGCTGCAAAGAATCTTGGGGGTGGGCGGGCGCATGCGCAGTTCAGATTTTTGGCCGGGAGACGAGGAGAGACACAAGGTAAGTCTATGGACACGTGCACCCGCATGCAGACACTGTGGGACAAGAAGTGCCAGCAAGCACAGAGGAGTCAGCGCTGGATCGGAGACCCGCAGCAGCACTGGAGAGAGGCTGAAAACGACAGGAGAGAAGAAGAAGATCGGATTAAGAGACATCATTTAAGGTAAGGGCTGACACTAACATCAGGGGAGGGAAAAAAACTTTAGACTTGAATGTCACTTTACGTATGGAGGTGACGATTGTGATTAAGATACTCGATGGGTAAGAAATTTGGTTGGAATGCATTTCATGGACAACTTTTAAACACTAAAAATAAAAAGACATATTTTAGAATAGATTATTAAATTCACACTGCATTGCTTGCTGTATCTATATTATTACATATTTTGCTGTTTGTATCCCTCACATGTCTGTACACTTAATATAATATAAAATCATCATGCATCATTAGGTAAATCGACTTACCTCTTGGGTTGCATTCAATATAAATAACACTCTGATTGGCACACTGATTGCTGTAAGAGGAAAAAAAATAATATTTTACTCACCAACAAGATTTTAGTAGACTCATTTTCTGCTTGTTAAATTACAGCTTTTAATGAAGATGCTTGTTTACAGCTTGATGTCATCGTGAGCTAAATGCATTCTTGTTGTCAATAGTGGCTAGGCAGAGTTGTTTAGTAGACCAGTAGTTGTTGGGTAATTACTCACATTGCTTTTTTGTTCTCTCGCACAATGAAGATTAAAATGATTATTGTAATAAAGAAGGTTAAGAAAAATATGCAACATGTAAATAAACAATTATGGGTATTTTTCTTCTATTTAATCTCTTCATGATTGGAGCTATTAACGCTTTTGGGAGAAGAGCATATTTTGCCATATTACAGTTTGTAGATACAACTGCAAATAATATTTAAACTTTTATTTTAAGTGCCTGTGTCAATCTGCTTTTGTTCCATAAAAGCTTATGGGAATGCACAGCCTGCTAAAATAAGAACTCCAGGATTTTTAAAACTAACCCTTGCAGTGGGGCTACCCCCGCACTGCAAGGGTTAGGTGCTCGTCTTGTGTCTAGGTTAAAAAAAAAAGTTGCCCTTACCCTAAGCTCAGAGCCGGTTCCTTCTTAGACTGATCCTTCCATCGGTCTAAGATCCCCTAAATCATCATTTCTATACACAGTGTATATATATCTGGATGCTGAAGAAGATTCCAAAGCTGCAGTGAGGGGGAGACAGGCTGGAGGGAGCGCTGTGACAGCTGGATTTCATGAAGCTTCGGGTGAGTATAACTCTGTGTAATTTTAGCAGCTAGACACAAACAAGCACTTTACCCTTGCAGTGTGTGGGTGTGGGTGGAAGGGGGGGGGGAATCCCAACCTGAAAGAAGCAATTTCAGAGAGGTGTCCCTCTCATTTCAGGGAGGTGCCCTCTGCCCCCCCCTCCCCACCCACGGAGGGGGTGTTACGGGGCTCTTATTTAAATAAGGTCAAAAGCAGATTAGAAGGAGATGCGCCGGTGGTCAAATGCACCTATGAATAAATTCTGAGTGATCTCAGAAGCTTCATGAAATTATGTCATCGACACACACAAGCTTAAATCCCATTGACACAGGCCCCAGATTAACTAAATACATTCCAGGTGCATTAAAACAAAAGGTGTGTACAGTCTTACAGTTCATTTTCTTTGGAAAGCAAAGTCTGAGTAGAAAAGCCTGTCCCCTCTCAGGATGGTCTAGAGAAGTCTCTGCTAAGGTCTGACATGTTCTGCAGAGCTATAGCCCTGTAATAAAGCGCATGCTTCCTGCTGATTGAAAAGCTTTAGCTCTTCAATAGTAGCTCTTCAAATATAGTGTCAGACCTCTGCAGAGAGACTACTGCTTCTACATGAAGAAAAAGGTACTTTCTCTATAACAAAAATGAACCATAAGACAAACAACTTTTGTTGTGATCCACCTAGATTATGAGGGTTATTCAGAAAGCTAGCCAAAGGATCAGCCGTAGCTCCAGCTGATCCTTTGGCTAGCTTCGGCTGCCTTAGCCCTTGAAGGGCTGCTGTACTGGCTAATCACTGTAGCCTGTACAGCTCCTTAAGAAGGCATATGCTTCGGCCCAACTGAGCCGAAGTGAAACCTGAAGCGGGCCGAGCTGTGGCTATTGGCTGGCCGAAAGCATGACAGCTGAAGGCTGACAGCTGGGTGGAGTCAGCTGTGATCTCATGGCTGGCTCCAGTCAGTTGCAATGACAGTTCAGGGTCCCCTGGTTACCAGGTAACCAGGGGACCCTGAACTGTCATTACAATGAGAGCTTAGCGGAGCCGGCCGTGATATCACTGCCGGCTCCACCGAGCTCTCTTTGTAATGACAGCAGGTCCCGTCCAATAGGAAACAGTTGGCCGCCCAATCGCTTTCTACTTTTTTTTCTACTTTTGTTCACTGTTTTTCTATTCTGCTCGGGTACGAGCAGAATAGCTGAGCCGAATGCCGCTTGGCAGCATTCGGCTAGTCACTCACTGCCGTTCGGCCCCTATGAGAATAGGCCGAACGGCAGTGAGTAGCCTGCCGAAGGTTCTCAGCCGATCCAGATGTTGGATCGGCTGAGTCTAACTCCTTCTGCACTTCAGGTCGGCCGAACATGCAGAGCAACCCGAAGCCAGCCAAAGCTAGCCAAAGCTAGCCAATGTACCAGGAACCCTATACTTGGGCTGATTATTTTAATATAATTACCAAAAAAAGTAACACTGTTTTGTGGAAACCGATATGGCATTTTTGGTAGTATACTTTAAAACAATTTTTTTGCGTTTAAATACACTGCTAAACATGTTCTCCTGGATGTCCTTATTACAAGAATAGTAAACATGTGTATCTTGTTCATACTGTATATTGGCCCTGATTTCCTAAAGAGAAAACAGTGTACTCTGTCACACAAATGTACCTACAAACCCAGCTGGACATGCAGTGCAGTCTGGCAGTATTTACTACTAGTCAGTGATACTCACGGAGATGTGCACAATTATGATAGTCAACATATAGCTAATTCACAAAAAATTTGGGTTTCTCTGCAGCACATGCTTTAGCATACGAATGTATGACAGCTACTGATGTCATACATTAAATAAAAATGGGATTTTCTGTAATTTTTTTACATCTATTAGTTAATATGCAAATCACATATAATGCAGAAATTCTGTATGATATCGCACATAGCATGTGTTCATGTGCACTGCATGTAAAAAAAATGGTGCATGTCTATTTTGTCTATATTTTGGAGCATTGGTAGTCCATTAAAGATAAATGGGCTGTCTTTACCTAAGTCACATTAATGTGTAATACAACATGCATTAACACACCACAGTGCAGCACTGAAGTATGTGTTTGGGGAAGCCCAGCTAGCAGTCACTGCGAGAGCCACTGCGCATGCACGTGTGAGACATTTTCGGGCTAATATTGCTGCGTGCAGAGGCCGATGCACATGTTCGAGCACAATGCTGCACACGTAGATTGGTGTACACGCACTCACATCTAATCATGGCGCCAAAAAAAGCGATTTAAACTCGCATTCTGCATGCACACAGTGCTGAGAGACCTTTCGCTAGTGTCCAGCGTTGATTCCTGATTGCTCCTATATCTGACCCAGCTTGAACCTCTGACTCTGCTGCTCTCCACCTGCCCCTGACCTCGGCCTATTCCACTGCTCTGCCTCTTGTCTGCTGATTCGGTACCGCTTATCCTGCACGGCTTGACCTCGGCTTGTCCTGCTCAGCTTCTGCCTTCCGATTATGCACTGCACAGCCCGCCAGTTACTGACCGGGCTCCGCTCTGACTGCGCTTATCTACTCAGCTGATAGCCTGCATGCTTCTGACTGACTACCTGTCTGGTGCTTCACTCCATTGTCTTCAGCATCTCTACCCAGTGGCACCTGTGCCTCACACAGTCCATTTGCCCCTGTTCCACTCTCAGGGCGCTCAGACCAGTGCTGAAAGGGAAGGTCCTACTCGTCATCCCAGACTCACATCAGGCACGTGACAGTATTAATGGGCCTTAAAGATAGCTGTAAAAATGTGTAAGTAAAAAGCTCATACTGCATACTCTTCATGGGCATCCCTGTATGCAAACATGCAGATTTTGGTCATGGCAGTTGCATGTACACATTTTTACTATGCTGCTATTTGAGAATGCATGTTGTAATGAAAAATATACAAACTTACAATGCCTTATTTACTCTGAAAGCACAGGGTACAGCATTTTTGCAGCTGCTCCTTTGTTTGGCACATATGACTTTCACAGCTCAGTGAGCAGTAATTGTTGTTGCATTAGAATTATAATATTTTTGCATTTTTTTAATACAGAAATTGAGCACACATTGCTTGGGGCAACAAATCTACATATAAGGCACAAATCAGCATCATTTTAAGGTCCAATATATGCTGCAAGTAGAAGCTTCAATGTATGTATTCAGCATGAATGTACTCTGTACCAAACAAGTTAAGAGAATATGTTCTCTGGGTGTGCAGCCATCTGCGCAGCAAAGCAAACTCACACCACAAGCATGCCAATCATCTTTATAGGGCTTTCTTTCTGCAATTCTTTTTAGTAAAACATGCTCATTGCCTTTCTTACTTGGTCTCAAAATAAGTACTGTATGAACGCTTGGTAAAGCGTAATAATAATTTCCAGCGTTAGGATACAAAGGACGAAAAGCTCTACATCTTAAAATCACCATAAATTATATGTTTTCCTCCTCAGTATCATTGAACATACTGTATACAGTATATTGTAATTTTTTATTAAACAGCTGCTATCTCCAATAAAAAAAAAAGAGATTTTTTTTATTGCAGTTGCTTAAAAGCAGCTTGCATTTGATCTGTTGCCTTTTTTTGTGAATGCCCACAGATTCGACTGTAGATGTACTACACATGGTTATTAAAGTGGACCAATGACCAGATTATGCACATTAAAGTGTTTAAATATCCTGAACATATTTTGTGTTAAATATTCTGAAAAAGCCCTCATTCATCTCTGTGGCCCACAGACATTGTGGACAAATCACCTTCAAAGTTCATAACAGTGTTAATTAAATCACACCTCCTCTCCTCTTACTTTCTCTCGCAGCAGAATCTTGGCAGTCTTTCAGCCCTCTAATGTAAACAAACAGCGGGTGTTTTGAAGTTAGAAATCCACCAAAATCTGACTTTGGAGTGTCTGTATTGATCTTTGAGGATGAGTTACTTCACAGTATATCAAGTTACCAAGGTGACAGCTTGTTTTAAAGTTTTTTTTACTGCTTGTTAAGAATAAGTAAACATTTTAATGTCCATAATCTGAGCACACATGCACTTTACAGGGTTGAGTCAAATCTAAGTTACCATTAAACCATAACTCCCAACTTTCTGAGATGAGAAAGAGGCATACATTCCAGCACAATGTATTCTACAGCGCTGTACAATCGTTTAGACAAAACAAGTACGAAACACTGACAAGCATCATTGACATACAGAAACAGTCGGTGAGGAGAACCTT